TATGTTTTGTATTTTGAAAGTTATTTAATGGAAAATTGAGTCTTGAATTTTCAGATTAAAATATTAGGGAGCAAATGTATGCCAGTTTGTGGGCCGTATGGATGAATGAAAAAAAAATAGTTACACAAAAGTGTTTCATTGTAAAGATGGTTTGTAGTGTGTTTTGTTGCAACCTGAAGTGTGAAATAAATTTCAATGGAGTTTGAAAACAAAATATGTGTATAGGTTTATGTCTGGTTGAACAATGTGTGTGCTCAGTTGATTACTTTTTCTTTTTTGGGGGGAAGGGAGGTTATTGTAATCCATGGGGGGCCCAGAAAATCTTTGGGAACCACTGGTTTATACTATCAAAACTCAAAGAATGAAATGATTGAATTCCTTCTTAAGCAAGTTGCAAATTGGTCAGTGCAAATTGCCAGGAGGGTTTTATTAGCAGTGGAAGTAGTTGTGCTTGGGTATAAGTCTGTTTTCCTACTTGGGCTTGTGTGGCATGAGATGTGATTCAGCAAAATTTGCAGCAAATGCTTGAATGGTGCAAATGGTACACACAAAATAAATGCAACAAAAAATTATGCAACTACAGGAAATGGAAGCAAAATAGTAAAAATAACAGCAAATATGAAATGCTAAAAACTTGCTTCACAAAACAGACGCGGTCCAGACCACTAGGAGTAAAGTGGAGTAGGTAATATTAACTATGTAAATATGCTGCTGTTCTATAATATTGTGAAAGGGTGCATGTTTGAAGAAGACATGAAACATAACAGACCTTTTCTTTCTTCCTCCAACTTTCCTATGTACATCCTGTCTTTACTGAGAGTGTGGTCCTGGTCCCATGTGATTTGTTTGTCACCTCCCCCTGGTGGTCTGGAGCCTTTCTGTTGGTGTGGAGTTAGCAGATTTTCATACTTGCTGTTTTTACCATCTGCTGCACTTTCCCTTTTGCTTCCATTTCTTGTGGTTGCAGATTTTTGCTTCAATCTTCTGTTATTACAGCATTTTTTTGTTTGCAGAGTTTTTCTGTTGCATTTGATTTTTGTGTTTGTGTGTTTTGGAGTACGCATTCCACATGTGTTTGCAGCGCCATCGTGGTAAATGCATCTGCTGGGTTTACTGTCCTGTTGCCCCATAAGTGTATTACAGTTCCTTATACTGGGGGATGTCTGGATCTGCATTGAGGAGGCAGGCTTGTTGAATGTTGTTTGATGGGCTGCATCAGTGTTTTCATCCAGATGGGTGACAGTTGGATAGTCTGTTGTTCAAGCCTGGGACCATGAAGGTTCTCCCATCTCTGTCAGTCGTTGTGTTTCTGTGAGGGTGTAGGTGTTGGGACAGGTGCTGGATGTGAGAAGGTGAAGGAAGAATTGGGTCTTAGATAAACCCAAAGCCTGGAGCATTCAGCCATTCCATCCCCATTTTACTTTCCTTGACATTATTCCTGACTGAGTCGGCACTGCACAAGTTGGGAGTTCACTAACCTGTAGAACCTCCAGTGTGTTCTTCATGAAGCTTCACACATGAACACTTATCAGTGCAAACTTACTGTACTGAATTCCTCCTGTGTCTCTTTCACCAAATACTGACTCTGAACTCACTATTTTTTTTCTTTTTCCAATTTTTTCTCCTTTCTCACCTGTGTTTCATCGCCTCATGCTTTCGACTCTTTTGCTTCACTTTTATTCAACACTCCTCTGTCTTCCACTCATTTTCTCTTCTAACTCATCTACATCGCCCTCTTTCTTGTGTCTCCTCCATGTACGTTTCTGTTTTCCTGGGATCGCCCTCCTGTCTCCTCTAGTCTCCAGAGGGGAAAGGCAGTGAGTCTCAACCCACTCCAGTCACCAACCAAGAGCTGCTGGGCTCCCACCTCACTGCTGATAGGCTGGGCGGGTCTGTCCAGGTACTGAGAGGAAGGGTTAGCTCTGCTGGCTTTCTGTCTGTTTGCCTACTTTTGTCTGTCTGCATGACCCTCTTGTGTCTGGAGCCAGGCTGACTGTGAGGTAGTATCTTTGCATAATAAATTATCCCTACAGATGGGGGTGTTTCTACAGAAATTCAGAATTGTGTGTGTGTGTGTGTGTGTATATATATATATATATATATATATATATACACACACACAAAATATATGTATACACCACATATCCTTGATCTATAGCCAGAGGAAGGATTGGAAGGATTTTTTTTCTTGTTTTTGTACAATTTTAGAAAGAATAGAGTTTATGCAACTACACATTAACACCTATGAATCACTTAATCATACAAAACACTAAATTCAACACCTGGAGATAGTGTTGTTGTTCTATATTAAATGGCCAGCTCATTAAAGAAACATTGGTGTCATTAACATGTCAGTAACATGACACATTTCACTGTCGGTATCATAACAGTGAAATGTGTTGATATGAAACAGAACTAATGATGCATCAATCAGAGATCTATGGCCAATTTCCGATGTCCAGCATTGGGAATGCTCTGACCTGATTTCTCTGCACAAATTACCAGCATTCAAAGTTTGATTTGAGACTTTTTAACCATCCATCCATCCATCCATTTTCTTCCACTTATCCGGGGTCGGATCGCGGGGGTAACAGCTCAAGTAGGGAGGCCCAGACTTCCCTCTCCCCAGCCACTTGTTCTAGCTCTTCTGGGGGAATTCCAAGGTGTTCCAAGGCCAGCCGAGAAACATCGTCCCTCCAGTGTGTCCTGGGTCTTCCCCTGCTCCCGGTGGGACGAGCCCGGAACGCCTCACCAGGAAGGCGTCCAGGAGGCATCCTGACCAGATGCCCGAGCTTCAACTGGCTCCTCTCGATGTGAAGGAGCAGCGGCTCTACTCTGAGTCCCTCCCGGATGACCGACTTTTTAACATCATCATTAATTATTTATAGTGAGTTAGAAATCAGTTGCTATATAACAAGGTTTTAATATTATAAAATCTAAATAATGATGGTTCTGTTTTCGTGGTTATTGTTGTTAGCATTACTGTTAGCGTCAGTCTCTGGGTAAGAATTAAATACTTCTCATAACTGACATTTCCAGAAGACTGCCAACATTTTATGAGACAACAGTTTGTGAGATTGAAGGACTGCGTGTCTGAACAGGTGGTTAGCAGCACAGGAGCACCACAGGGCACTGTACTCTCATCATTCCTTTACACTCTGTACATGTCAGACTTCCTGCAAAAGTCCAACTTCTATCATCTGCAGAAATACTCCGATTATTCTGCAGTTGTCGGGTGAATCAGAGATGGACAAAAGGCAGAGACCTGGTGGAATGCTTTGTGTCATGGAAGGAACAACCATCTCATCTTCAAAGGAGATGATTGTAGACTTCAGGAGGAACAGCGTTAGATCAAACCTTATTTCCATTGTGAGAGAAGTGGTGGTTGTGGAGTCGGTGTTTATCTGGACAACAGACTGAACAATAATCATTTGCTGGGGCAGCAGCATCAGAACCAGGGACCTAAAAACGCTCAACAACCTGATAAAGAAGGCTGGTTCTGCTCTTGGGATGGCTGTGGAACGTCTGGAAATGATGATGCAAAGAGAGTCTTCAGTCAGAGGCTTCTTCAGATCTGCAGTAATACAGACTGCTCCAGGAGATCCATTAGCATCTACAACAACTCTTTGCAGAACCTTGGATAATTAGAGTTGCAACAGCGTTTAATTTCCCTTTGAGATTGATAAAGTATTTTTGAATTTGAACTGAATTTTCAAGTCTAATTCTGTAACAGAGATTGAAACTGTGAACAGATCAAATTTACCATCATACATTTAGTCTTCCTTTGTCTACTTTCTCGCGGCAGAAAGTGGCCGTTTTAAAGTAGCAGCCTCAATGAATGGTTGACATGCCTCTGTAGAAAATACAGTGGACCTATAGTGTCCATAGCTGCCCACAAAAAGGTAAAATTCTCAAAGGCCTTGAGATCCGCTCTAAAAATGCTTATAGTTGCCTATTTTAGTAGGCAACTACTAAACACAAAAATATACCCTTATATGGTATAAGGATGAGGATAAAACACTTCTGTAGCATGTGATGCACATAAAACTTCTACTTTTGTTCATTTATAGAACCCTGCCCAGATTGGTCACCACTGGTCACCAAACACTTGACTTCATAAACTCCAAGCAAAACATACAAAATAAAAAGCACACACAAACATCTCTAAACTAACACTTTATCTAGTTTCAACAATGACTCCTCCTGGATAAGCATGCAGAGACAGACAGTCACTTGCGTTGCGTCGTTGACCTTACAGCAATCCCTGATACCGAGCATGCATATGGCGACGGTGAATAGGAAAAGACCCCCTTTAACAGGAAGAAATCTCCAGCAGAAGCAGAACTGGGCTCACTATGAGCAGCCATCTGCCATGACTGACTGGGTGTTGGAGAAGACAGAGCAGATATACAAAAAGGAAACTGAACCAGGAGTACTTTCTAAGTTAGAGAAAAGTAAGACATTAATGTCTGCAGGAGCTCCTTTACTTGCTTCAGATTCCAGATATCAGATTTGTTTTTCACTCCACTTGTACAGGGGTATTGCTGTATTGTATGTAGAAGAAATTTGGAAAGGATTTTAAAACCTGGCATTTTAGCAAGGATGTGTTCACTTTGAGAATTATTGAGTCCGTTAAGATCAAAAAGGATAATTTGTTTGAATCCATAAAGCACTTTTCCTTGAGTGTCAATATTAAGTCATTGAATGATCCAGCCTTTCTTGCTAAACAAATGGAAGAACTTCATGCTTGTGTTGGTGGAGTATTTCAGTTGTTAGATAGAGATGTAGTATTTGAGTTATGATGATAGGATGTTTCTGCTGGAACAGCACTTTCTCTGCGTGCCTCGTATTAGTAAAAGCAACAGTTACTGATTGATCTTAATTACAAAGAAAATGAAGGATTGTTTGTTCAGTGTCACCTTAAATCTTCTACTCTTCATTGATGTCTGACATCACATAGTGATTTCCATGGAAACACTGTTGATCATGTTGTTTAGTTGCTGCTTCTTGCATGCCCTATTGTCCAGTTTCACAGGTAATGATGGGCAGAATTGCTTTTTTATTTTTGCACTGACCATGTTGCTTTGTTGCCACTGAGTAAAAGAGGGATGAGATGATGTGCTCATCCAGATTTTCCAAAAATTCTGTCCTCCAGGTGATGAACTCGACCAATGGAGAGCTGAATACAGACGATCCTACTGCGGGACATTCTAACGCACCAATCACAGCCAACGCAGAGGTTGAAGTTCCTGATGATATAAAGTAAGAACACACTCATATACACACACTGTTCAGTCTGTACTTTCTTTGATTCAACCTTTGTGGTCGTCCTCCTATGTTCTTGTTTAGATTGTAATTGATTATTTATGTTTATATGTTTATATAGGATGAATCACATTTTTGTGTTTCTGTGGAGAGACAACTACTGAACAATTGTCTTTTTGTAGAGAAACTATTATTGGCTGGTTTCCTTTTACTTTTTTCACCCCTAAACTGCCACCCTCAAAACGCTTCCATGTTAATCAACAGATCCATGAGAACACGGGTGTCATGACAGCTAAGGGGTTAATTTAATTTCCAAAGTTAATTAATTAATAAGGATTTTAAATCAGGAAATATAGGACTACTGAAAAGGTTGTCCATGTACTCAATATTTACTCATTTTGCATAAATTACAACATCAGTGGTGGAGGTGCAGAAAAAAAATCAGTTCCATAGAGAATTGCAAATCCTACTCCTGGCAATTTTGATTTGATTCAAAAATAATCAAAAATCTATTTTAAAATCTGTTTGAGATGTAAGTCCTTGCTGCTCCTACTCGGCCACTGTTTATATTTTGAGTAATTCATTTTTTTAATTTAAGAAAAAGCAGGGAAGTTAAGCTAACCAAATACTGGTAATTTAAGTGACAGACTTTTAAGCACAAACCTATTTTTGTTTAAATGTAAATGGATGAAATTTGATACAGTACAAAACCTTATAGAATTTTAAAAAATAATTGTTCTATTTGTTTACACTGTTTTTTTCTTCTTGTCAGTCACATAATTTAAACAGAAACTCAGGACCGTTTGAGTAAAAAATGTGGTTTCTCAATCAAAAACAGTTTTTGATTGTGGTCCTAAAACTTGACATTGAATTGCTGGACTCTGATTGGCATCTCTAATCAGTTCATCGTGCTTTGGAGGTGATCTCCATACCACCCCAGACCCGCCTTCAGCACCAGTCCTGCTCCAGCTCTGGATCAGCTCCAACTGTTTAAAAAAATGTAATCAGTGGATTTGATTATAAAATTACTGTTTGCAAGTTCCTAAAGATGAAACTGTAAAGTTGTTTAAATGTAACTGAATTTTGATATGTCTTGAAGTGACAGGCCAAAGTAGATCTACTTTGGCCTGTCACTTCAAGACATATCAAAATTCAGTGAAGTTGTGTTCCCTGTGAGCATAAAGCAGCTGCTGCTGTGGAAATCTTTCTGAACTGACTTGTATTTTTCAGGTGCTGCTGTTTCTTTAAGAGGAGGAAGAGGAAAGCACTACAGAGACACAAGTGAAAGAGACCAGAGAGAAACCTTTGGTCTTTTCTTTGTCATCTTTTAATTCCCCTTCCTGATGTCTTTTTCAAGCCATTTTTCTTGAACTCTTCCTCCTCTGTTTAGCCCTCTCCCGTACCCATGCAGTTCCCTTGTTAGTCTGGAGTGACAAGCAGGTGGTCTGCTAGTTTCCTCTGGGCTGTATAGACATTGAAAGGCCTTTTCCGTTTCACCACAGAGCATCAAATATGCTGCCTGTTCCAGCAGTGGACATATTGGGACAATAAAGGAGTAAATGACAGATTATACAAGCTAATCATCAGACTGGATTCAGCTAATCTACTGGAAGACTGACTGATTTCTTTACTTTTTGAGTGTTCTTCCTTACTGACTGGATCAGAAGACAAGTGTATTTCAGGAGATCCAGACAAGAGGACTTGTAAAGCATGGAATCCAGAGACCACGTGTGCAAACAAAACACGCACACAAAAATCATGCTGCACATTTTGTCGAGCTCATCATAAAGAGACTTGATGGACAGAGATGCAGTTGATGCACATAGTTTTTATTCCCTGGGGTGAAAGAAGTTGCACATCGAGTGGCCTGGTCCCGGTTGTAGAACGGGCCGAGCTCGGTGCATTCCTCATTCACCATCAAGGGAAACCCTCACAACCACCACAAAACTCAGAACTTAAGAAAAGATGTTTATGTCAGATTTATGCTTTACCCTGACTTTGAGTTGTAACTAAAATAAGACTGTTCTCTTTTCATTTTTTTTCTCCTTCTGAGTTGTTCAAGTTTGTTTTGTAGCTTCTAGTGTGATCCTCAGAATGTATTTTTTTTTAAATAACTTTTGAAGTTTTTCTTTTGGTTTCCCTCTTTTTCTTTCAGTTTGAGGATGGAGAGATGGTAATGCCATTAAAAAATAAAACACAATAAAAAGCTATCTTTATTGAAGTGACTACAAACATGTTAGATTACCTTCTATTTGTTGGTAGTTCTTGAATTAGTCTTTTTCTTTTTCCATATTTCTGCATTTGCATATTTCTAAATTGTGGCTTTTAGTGATGCAGTCATCGAATATTTTGTAACCTGTATTGTTTTTAGTCAATTTCCATTTCCCATTTTTTAATTTATTTTTTTTAAAAGTTAGCATTTGGACAGTAAAGTTTTTAACTTTACCAGAAAGTTGAATAAAGTAGATTAAGCAAATAGAGTGACTGAGACAGATAGGGTGGTGGTTCAAACTCACAACCCAGCAGTTAACAGAACAGACCCCAGCGACTTCCTGAGCCACTGCCACCCCAACGTCACTAAACAATGGACAAAAGTTTTAATTTCTAGAAATACAAAGTGCCACTAACGATTTAAAAATGGGTTGTATGATAAAATGAAACCTACCAGTGTCTGTTGTGCTTTTATTTTCTCCAAATACTTGAGTAGTTTCTGTTTTGAGCAAATTGTTATCTAAATATCAGCCTGACTAATCAAGAATGTTTCAAGATGGCAGAAAAAGCGAGATTTGAACACAAAGGTGTAACTACCATAACTTTGTAAAATCTAAATTTGGAAATGTTATCAAACATTTCAGATATTGTCTCATTTGAGTGAACTTCTCAATGTAGTCTAATCTCCATCATTGATGCCATAGAGAAGCAACACATGAATCTTATGAGAATTTGTTCAAAAATAATCTACCTAATTAATCTTTTAAGCTTTCCTTATCTGCTTTTTCTTAAACAAGGCCAACAAATGTTAAAACCTCAAATGTGAAAGTTCATTCAAGAACAAGGAAAAGATGAGTAGATGTGGCTTGATTTCTGCTTTGTTTTAACTGCTATTAAAACGCAATTTTAATCGCGATTTATTTTAATTTAATTTCTTTAAAAAAGAAAAAAGATTTTGGCAATTATTTTAGGAAGGTGACTATACAAACATGCGGAAGTGATTAGGAAGAGGAAGTTCCACCCGCTAGGTTCTTGTTATTGGCTGAGAGGAGCAACGTGGTTGTCCTATTGGTTAGTTTTAATATGTGCGTCATAGTTACCGGCGACCTGCATTGTTTACGTCTACGATAAAGCCAGGTGAGGGTTGGCGCTGGAACCAGACAGCTTCGGATCTGTCACATGCTTTCATTTTTGCGAAATGTCAAGAACAGAAGACAGTGGAGCAGTTTCTGTCTGGTTTGAAGATAAACGTCTGGTGTGAGTTTAATTAGTTGACGTGGCGTCGTAACACGTCTCTCATGTTTCATAAATATTTAGCTGGTGAAACTTGTTTAAAGTAGCGCACATGTAAGACATGCGGTGGGAAAACCTCTCCTTCGTCCGCTGGTGCTTTGTTTCGGTTTGTGTTCCTTCTGGGATGCTCCTCCTTGCTCCTCGCTGACTGTCAGCTGATTCAAAGCGGAAAGAGTGACATAAGCTCATGGAATAATTTTAGCGCACACCGGGATAACAAGTTGGTTGGCAAACAAATGTAGCCTACATGTTTATTTGTCTTCTTCAAAAACATTGTTATTGAAAAAGAATAGGGAACCAATACCTTTTGGGGGGAGGGAGGCTCAAAGATGTCCGTCTAGTCTGCTTGAATGATTTGAAGCCATTTCAGCGACTCAACTTGATGAAAGCGCGTGCGGAGTTCCTCCTTTTAACCCTGACGAGCCAGCATGTCGGACACGGAGAGGTCTCTGTCCGCTGTCAGAAAGCTCAGCTACGCTGCGGGACACTTTCTCAACGACCTGTGCGCTTCCATGTGGTTCACATACTTACTGGTGTTCTACCACTCGGTGCTGGGATTCCAGAACACGAATGCAGGTGAGTCAGTCTGTTTGAAGCGATGCGTAATATCGTTTTATTCTCCACTTCTAGGTAAATGATTATTTCACTGTTTTTTGTTGTTGTTTTTGCTTATTCAGAATTACATGCAGCTACAAAACAAAAAATAATAAAAATGCTGAGCTGCGTGAAACTAATCTGTTACTGGTTGTGAAACTGTGATCCGTGGAACTTGCTCTGTATTTGTAGCACCTCAACATTTGTGTTTTATTTCTAGCCTTTAGCCCTGTTACACTGGGTCCATATTAACATCCACATTATCTAGAGTGGGCCAGCATGTGAATATAATACTCTAAGAGTTTTTAAAGCACCTGTGTGAAAACGTTCAAAATAGTTTACAGAAAAGTAAACTATTTTGAGTTTACTTGGGGTTCAAATGTTCCAGATGAATCCCTCTGGAACATCTGGAGATTATTGTGGACAGAAATCAGGATATGAGTGGCTTTTGGGGATCTGAACAGTGTTCGTTCAGATCTGTTTCAAATGTAACAAAATTGGTGTACAACTTGAGAACCTTGTGTTTTGCCAAATCAAACCTAACCTGGACTTATTCTACACTGAAGACACTTAGAACCCAGTAAAAGTTAAAGTTTGACTATATTCTTTTTTTGAATTTGGTTAATATTTGAGTTTCCACAAAGCTTCACAGGTCTGAAACTGAGTAATAATGTAGCTGTCAAATTATAAGTAAGCCTGATCACATTTCACTTGCAGAAGTATTTTAACTTTAATCAGATTCTTACTTTCATTTAAAACAACAACAAAAGAATGGTCCCTGAGGCTGTATGTGGAAATCAAAATGAACAGCTTGATTTCAGCTGTTCATTTTTAGCTTAGAACTAGTTTTCAGTGAATGAGTATCTAACCTCCCTGACTGGCCAGTAGACTGAGTTGTGTTTATTATTTTCATTGATTTTTACTCATCTGGCTTGTTTTAGGGTGATTAGCTCCAGGTGCTGTTCAGTGTTTCGTATTTCATTTGGGACACACAGTGTTCTAAATACCCTTTCTAACTAATCTAATGGTCAGGCCTTTACATTGCGCAGTGTTTCTGAAAGGTAATTTGCCCTTTTAGAGATTTGTTCTGTGGATGACTATTTTTCTACATTTAATTATCAGATCACCAAATATCCAGAGTTGTGTTTGTCTCAGAGGCTATTTGAAAGTGCATATTCCACATAATTATTTCAATCATTAAGGGGAAAATGTAACCAAATCAACTTGACTCTATAAAAAAATATAGGGTAGCCTTCATAAGTCAACATAGCAAAGTTCCAATGAGTACAAAAAAATAGGTAATTTGGACTTTAAAAGGCCTAAAAAGAACCTATAGTTTTTCTGTACTTAGAAAGGCAGACTTTTTAGACTTAGAAAATCTAAAAAGATGATAAAGATGGCTAGTTCTGTTCTGGGAACACCTGGAGATTATTGTGGACAGATGTCAAGAAAATTATGAACAACTTCATCAGACTGCTATACAAATGTCTTCAGTTAGACACTACTTCAGAAACACTGAAAGACTGACTGCCACAGAAGAACCTTCCTGCCCACAGCCATAAGCATTTTCAACAACTCTTGGGAGAAACTCTTGTAAAAATGAGTTGCAACAATCCTTTTGGGATTAATACATTATTTTTCAATTAAAGTTAATTATTTTGTGGACTGATGAAGCATAAAATGTTGCACTCTACAGAAAAAACCTTAAATCTAGAGACACCATATTTGGTGAATACATTACTGCTAAGTATGGTGTAACCAGAAGGATATGGAAGCAGTTACTTTTTCACAAAAGACCCGATTGGTTTGGATTGAAAATCCGTGTAGGACGGCGAAGTCCTAGCGCAAAAAAATCGTGTGATAGGTGGACAGAGCCTGGATAATACCCGTGTTAAACTGACGGCGGAGTCCGGCGACGACAGGCGCTTAAATTCCGTAACAAAAGTATGTTTTTATCTGTTTTTCTTCTTTTTTTTCTTTTTCCAAAATATCTTTCTCTTTCTTACTGTTTATTCAATGTCACATGCTGTTTTTATTTTGTTTTTTAATTATGTAAAGCACCTTGAAATGCCTTGCTGCTGAAATGTGTTATACAAATAAAATTTGATTGATTGCTTGTTGCCCCTAATAAATAAAATCATATTTTTTTAAATAACCTGAGTAATTACAAAATGTTTATCTTTGATATTGCCATTTGTTTGATGTAAACATTTATCTGAGACCTAGAAAGCAAAACCTGAAGAAACATGCAAGGTGGCAAATCATTTCATGACATTCTGTTATTTCTTTGAATTTAAAGAGATATACAATTTATATCCAAAGTAGTAATTTCCCCTTTTAGTTTTAATTGTGTTCTTACAAAATATGCTTAAATGTTTCTAGATACAGAGTAAATCTTACTGTAGCTGCAAGACGCTCACATAGACTCTTTTCTTTCATAATGAGTATTTATAGTAAAAGTAAATTTAATTCCCATTACATATGATCAAGTTTACCACCATATATGTTCTGTTTAATCCAGTCAGTATTATAGAATTGCTCATCTGTAATCATTTATGTGTGCTGCAGGTGTCTTGTTGCTGGTTGGTCAGATAGCTGATGCCATCTGTACACCCCTGGTTGGCTATGAGTCAGACCAAACCTCTGGTTGTGGAAACTATGGCAAGCGGAAGACCTGGCATTTGGTTGGTGAGTTTGTTACTACAGTTGGACGGAGAGAATGCATCACACTGCAGTCTCGTGTTACTGCAGCACAAGGTTTAGAAATGATTTACCTTCCTTTAGGAATCATGAAGGTTTATTTATTTGCTCTTGAGTCATGTTGTAAACTCAGAAGTTTCCAGTTCAAGGTATAAAAACTGTTTTTATAGTTTCTTGGTTTTAAATTTGTTGGGCCTTTTATTTTTCATATAAACACTAGAATTTCTTAGTGCATTGGTGTTTATTTACATCATTTAGTATTACTGTGAATAATTCAGAAAAGAGCTCATTACATGTAGTGTATGTAAATCGGCTCATTCTATTTGTCTGTAATTAATACTCAGATATTTAAAAGATAAGGACGGGTATTAAAGTATTGAGATCAACCACTGGTGTCCCAACTGGAGCATACTCTTTGCCAGCTCAGCTGACATTGTGCTTTACAAAGTCCTTTAATGACATCTGCTCAGGGGAACATGGTGTGGTCTATAAAGTGTTATAAGCTCAGTTGACCTGACAGGAGCAAACCATCTTGCGACACCTGCAAGCTCCAGAACGTCCCAAATGGTTTCCAGGTTTAGATCTAATTTGCACCTGTGGAGGACCAATAGTAACTCTGGGACTTGTGTATAAAAGACTGCACAAGAGTGCTTTCACACTAAAAATTGGCAAGAGATCATCATGAGAAAAATATTGGGGTCGATGCTCCTTGGGCTAAATAATTGAATGGAGTCAGATTTCAGTGTATTTAGGTGAGTTTTGGCGCTTTGTAGTTTATTGTCCAAAACAAAAAGTTTGTATGGTTACCGTATATTTTCATTACAGGTAAAAAGTTTGCGTATGTTTACGCAAACTTTCACGACGCGTTCATTTTTATACTTCCAACTTGTGCGTAAAGTATCACGCCACAAATTTTTTGTGCGTATGCACGCGTTACACATGAGGCCTCTGGTGCTCGCTGTGGTTAACTTGGCTTTCTAATGTGTTTCTTAGATCTGTAGCTCAAGCTAATTAAACAGTTGATTTCTGTACTTCAATCCCTTCATTTTACTTTTGTTGAAAGTAGAGATGTGCCGATCAGGTTTTTTCCTGCCGATACCGATACCGATCACCCATGATGGCCGATAGACCGATACCGATCAC